ATTATTATGTTCTGTTAGTCACCATAGAGTACATCATTAGTTTCTGATGCAGTGTTCCATGATTCATTGATGCAAATGATTTCTAATCAGAGTCCACACAGTAGCAAATTAAAGGGCCCTTGCCACTCCATTGATAAGACTGTAACTGTAAGAAAGTGCTACAATGAAAACATCACAAACTGGTTGGCATGTATTTGTTCATCTCAAATCTATGGACTCAGAGATGAAAATTATCCAGAGCCTTGGAGATCATATTCTACTCCTTTTATTTTTAGGACTGTAAAATATGGTCCAGGAAGAAAGTGACTTTTCTAGTTTCATACAGTTTCATATACATTAGTTGGCAGTTGTTTTTAATATCCATATAGATTTTCAGATGTGTGTGTATGGTATGCAATGTACAGATTTTATAGAACAGTACTTTTAGAAAATTAGGCTCCAGCATTCACTCTTAACTTCTGAGAGAGAAGATTGCTTTGTCAATTTTTAGTAATTTTATTAACAGGACATGACTTGGTTAGAGTTATAAAATTTTTATAACTTCAATTCAATATAATAATTATATAGTGAATGTGCAGTATATAATGTATTTGGGGTATACAAAAACAAATTTTATATTTCTTCCCTTCCATGATTTTTATCCTAATATCTGTGATAAGACAGCTATGACAGTAGATACAATGTTCTTCAGACTATAATAATTACACAGTTTAGCAAAAATAAATTCTATACATGCACAAAAAAAAGCAAATGATGATACCTCATTTTGGATCAATGTATTAGTCAAGTCAGGTTGCCATAACAAATCACCATTGACTGGGGGGTTGTTTCAGTTAATTTAACTATACAACAGAAACAGTATTTTCTCACAGTTCCTGAGACTGAAAAGTCCAAGATTCATTTTCCAGCCAAACTGGCTTTCTGATGAGATCTCTCTTCCTGGTTTGCAGATGGCCTCTTTGAACCCACATGGCCTTTCCTCTGAGTACTTGCAAAAATCTTTCTCTCTCTCTGTATCTCTAAGGCTAGCAGTCCTATTGGATTAGAGTTCTGCCATATGACCTCATTTTACCTTAATTACCTCCTAAAAACCCTATCTCCAAATACAGTCACATTAGAGATCAGGCTTCTACATGTGAATATGTGGAGAACACATTTCAGTCCACAGCAATCAGGAAAGTTTTGATAAAGAAGACAGCTCTTGGTATGGTGTGGGAGTGTATATAAGAATGCAAAATATGGATGTGGAAATCTTACTCTGAACTAAGGGGAAGAAAGACCATGAAAGTATAGAAGCTTGAAAATTCAGGCATATTTGCAAAATGGTAAATACTATAATTTTGCAGTAGCACAGAATATATTTTGGGGAACAGTCAGAGAATAAATGGGAAGTAATTTTACTTTGGAGGACCCTGAAGGCTAGTCTGAAAAATTTTACATAATTTAAACATCACAATGAAGTCATCAATATGTTTGAGAAAGGGAGTGTTACTATTTGATCACCATATTGAAAAGATTCCTAAGATGAAGTGTTTAGAACAGATTCAAATGAGAAGAGTCTAGAGTATGGGAGATAGATTTGGAGAAGTAGTGCAAGAGACTTTATTAGGATTAAATAAAATCATGGCTGAGGTAATAGTTTTATTTCCTTTTCACTGCCAAAATTCCTGCCCCATGGCCCATGCCTTTCCTCACTGTTTAAAAACAGTTTAACTAGCATCTATACTCCCCAAAGAAATCACATCCTTAAATTTCATGGTTGGAAGGCACCTTTCCACTCAGTACACCACCACCTACAATTCATTTTCCCTCTAAAATCAATCTCTGGGTGCCTAATTAAAAAAAATTTGACCCTTTTTTAGTACTTAGGCTCAAAACCTCAGTGAAACTCCACTCTTTCAGAATTTCTCTGTTGTTTTCTATATATTCACTGACAATACAGCTCTTACTTGCATTGTTTTGTTTTGCAGTGTTTTCATTGTTATTGCTTTTATTGTTACTATATTTATTTTTAAATCTTTTTTATGTTTCTTTTTATGCTTCATACTTCTCGAGTCAAAGCATTCAGCCACTGTCTTTCTTTCAAGACTGATGTATTTGTCCTCTATTTTCTTTATTAGAAGCCACCCTGACTGCACTCTGATAGGATCTTTTTGCTGCACTTTAATATATTTATGTATATATATATATATATACATATATGTATATATATATATTTATTCATATATTTTTTTTGCATTTCTGCAAACTACTTTATCAAAGCTAATTTGTTTGCCTGTACAAGATACTAAGGAACTCAAAAAGAGCCATACCACAAAAACAATGATTAAAAATACCTAATAGGTATTAATTGCTTTTCTATGTAACAGGTTGTTCTTTTAAATACTAATATTAAAAGATAAAAATAAATAAATAAATAAATACTACTAATATATTAACTCATTTAATCCTCACAACTTAAATGAAATAGCTATTGCTATCCCCATCCCTAGAATTTGATAACATGTTTTTTTTTCTTTAACTGATCCTATATAATTTGTGAAATCTTTATCTCAGTAAATTTAGCACACTGTCTACCTTATAGTGTTCAAAATGTCAGTCTATCCCTCCTAACACTTGTGTAAAGCTCAATTGCAGATGTGGTTAGGAAATTTATTGTGAAGGGGGTAGCAAGTTTTATTGTTGGGTGACTATCTTGGTTTTGAGAAAAAGGGCACATAGATAAATTGTTAAAAGATAAACTAAAGCGTGTTAACAACTTTAAAAGCTTATTTGTGCAAAAATTAGTCTGAATCAGGCAGTGCCAAACTGGGAATAGTTAGTACCAACAGGAGCTATGGGAGAGGCTTTTATAGAGAAAAGGTAAATGCAATGTCAGCAAATTATTGATGTAGTTGAAGCCAATGCTCATTTACTGTGCTAGAGGGCAGCACATCTATTTACAACATGGTTTACTGAATATTTTAAGCCCACTGTTGAGACCTACTGCTCAGAAAAAAAGATTCTTTTCAAAATATTACTGTTCACTGACAATTAGCCCAATCACCCGAGAACTCTGATGGAGATACCAGGCTAATATTGTTTTCATGTCTGCTCACACAACATCTCTTCTGCAGCCCATGGGTCAAGGAGTCATTTTGACTTTCAAATCTTACTTAAGAAATGCATTTCATAGGGCACCTGGGTGGCTCAGATGGTTAAGCGTCTGCCTTCGGCTCAGGTCATGATCCCAGGGTCCTGGGAACGAGCCCTGCATCGGGCTCCCTGCTCAACGGGAAGCCTGCTTCTCCCTCTCTCTGTCTCTCATGAATAAGTAAATAAAATAAAATCTTAAAAAAAAAAAGAAATGCATTTCATAAAGCTATATCTGCCATAAATAGTGATTCCTCTGATAGATCTGGGAAAAGTAAATTTGAAAACTTCTGGAAAGGATTCACTATTTTAGATGCCATTAAGAATATTCAGGATTCTTGGGAAGTGGCCCAAATATCAACATTATCACGAATTTTGAAGAAGTTAATTCCCACTCTCATGGATGACCTTGAGAGGTTCAAGACTTCAGTGGAGGAAATAACTGCAGATGTGGTGGGACTAGCAAGACTAGAATTAGAAGTGGAGCCTGAAGACGGGACTGAATTGTTACAAGCTGATGATAAAACTTGAACAGATGAGGAGTTGCTTCCTACGGATGAGCAAGAAAGTGTTCTCTTGAGATGGAATCTATTCCTGGTGAAAAAGCTGTGAAGGTGGTTGAAATGACAACAAAGGATTTAAAATATTACATAAACTTGGTTAATAAAGCAGCAGCAAGATTTGAGAAAATTGACTGTGATTCTGAAAGAAGTTCTACTGTGTGTAAAATGCTATCAAACAGTATTGCATGCTGCAGAGAAATCATTTGTGAAAGGAAGAGTTGATCAATACAGCAAATTTCATTTTCTTATTTTAAGAAATTGCCAATGCCACCACAACCTTCAGCAACTACCACCCTGATTAGTCAATATTGAGGCAAGACCTTCCACCAGGAAAAAGATTATGATTCACTGAAAGCTCAGATGATGGCTCACATTTTTTAGCAATAAAATATTTTTATATTCAGGTATGTACATTGACTTTTTAGATATCGTGCTACTGCACATTTACTAGACTACAGTGGAGTGTAAACATAACTTTTATTTTATTTTATTTTATTTTAAATGTTTTATTTATTTATTCATGAGAGTCAGAGAGAGAGAGAGAGAGAGAGAGGCAGAGAGGGAGTGGGAGAAGCAGGCTCCCCACCTAGCAGGGAGCCCGATGCGGGACCCGATCCCAGGACCCCGGGATCATGACCTGAGCCCAAGGCAGACGCCTAACCATCTGAGCCACCCAGGCGCCCTAAACGTAACTTTTATATGCACTAGGAAACCAAAAAAAATTCATTTGACTAGTTTTACTGCGGTATTTGCTTTTTTGGGGTGGTCTGGAACTGAAAGCGTAGTATCTCCGAGGTATGCATGCCTATACTTAAAAAAAAAAAAAAAAAAAATCCTTTCAAATATCTTGTCGGGTTTTAGCCACAGGAAACAGTAAATATTCCTGGCAATTCCTGGCAGTAGTGAATGACCCCATGGACACGAGAGGGATCCCCCCAAGATAGTGCACCCTCTCAAAATCCAGAGCCACTCCTGAAGGTAAGGAAAAGAAAGACTCAGATAATTGTCCCCTTGAGAGCTGATGCTCTCAGTACGACCTTAGCTGCAAAGGGGTTGAAGCGCACAATTCTGCCCAGACACATTTTGAGGGCCCCCAAACCGACAAATGCCAAGCCAGGTTCTCAGAGCACAAAACAAGACAGACAGAAGGCAACAGCTGTTTCTAGGAAAGAACTGATAACCCATGGGTACCTGGAGGCAAATTCAGAAGTCACCATTCAAAGATCTAATTCTTACATTTTTTTTTCCCCCTGACAATCTGAGTTTGGAAAGGAAGCGTGAAATTTTACCTTTTCTTTCCCCCAGGCACCACAGCTAGAGAGACCCAGGAGACTTCTGCAAAACTTCCTACCTTTTGCCGGCTTCTGCCTGTTCTCCCAGGATCCGTCTGCAGTCTCCGGAGCAAGTCGGGTGTCCCAGCAGGTCCCATCCCGGTCACCAGAAACTGTAGAGGAGGACGAATAATTTTCCCTCCATCCTTCCAGGTGAGGGCTGCGTTAGGGCCCCTTCTCTAGGGCACCTCCTAAGGGGATGCGCTTATCTAAGATGCTTAAAACTTCTCCGCTGTGCCCACTGAACTCAAGATTATCTTTGGATGATGGGTTAACCTACCTGTTCAGCCTTAAAACAAACTTTTATTTCCCTAAGGCCTCCCACTGGAACCAGCCCGGTTCTGACCCTGGACCCGGCCCGGTTTCAAAGTCGGACCGTCAGACCCTGGACCGAGTCAGATCCCAGACCCGGACCGATTTCTAAGTCGGACCCAATCCGCCACTGGACCCGGTCCGGTTTTGAAGTCGGGGCTGGCGGGTCCTGGCGGTTTCGGAGCCTGTTGGGAGAAGGGAAGGCTGGAAGAGTGCAGGCTCCTGATGGGGAAGCTGAGGAGCCAGGATCCCGGGGGGGGGGGGGCTGCACCCCACCCCCAGCAGCGGGAAGCAGCGGGGAAGCCGCAGGAGCTCCAGGGCTCGGCAGGTACCTGTGGGCTGGGGGCTCGCTCCTTTCTCCTGGGGGGCTCCGGGGGCTCCCTGTGATTCCCTCTTCTGACAGAAGACCTGTTAAAGAGAAACGGAGTCAGGTTAGAAATTTTAAGAGTTTATCTGAGCAAAAATGGATTAGAATCGGGCAGCACCAGTCTGGAAGTGGGTGGGAGCTCTGCACCGACAGGAGCTCGGGGCCAGAGGCCCTTGCAGAGAAAAGGCAGGAACCGAGTAGGGAAATCGGTGCCTGCTATCGCTCGAAGCCTGTTGGCCCTTCGTGTGGGTTGCCCTTGGCGCTCTGAGTTCATACCCGAGGCATGTATAGGCTTAGCTTTTGCTTCGCGGTGTAGGCCCTGATGGCCTCGGAGCCACCTCCGTTTAATGGTCTCCTGCGTAATTAACAGATCCGGACTTGATGTCTCCAAAAGCCGATGCAGTTTTGTTGCAGTTTTGGTGTTGTCTTTAAGAAAATGATATGCATTTTTTTTTTAAGATTTTATTTATTTATTTGATGGAAAGAGACACAGCGAGAGAGGGAACACAAGCAGGGGGAGTGGGAGAGGGAGAAGCAGGCTCCCCGCAGAGCAGGGAGCCCGATGCGGGGCTTGATCCCAGGACCCTGGGACCATGACCTGAGCCGAAGGCAGACGCTTAACGACTGAGCCACCCAGGCGCCCATGATAAATATTTTTTTTTTAAGATTTTATTTATTTATTTGACAGAGAGAGAGACAGCGAGAGAGGGAACACAAGCAGGGGGAGTGGGAGAGGGAGAAGCAGGCTCCCCGCGGAGCAGGGAGCCCGATGCGGGGCTCGATCCCAGGACCCTGGGACCATGACCTGAGCCGAAGGCAGATGCTTATTGACTGAGCCACCCAGGCACCCTTCAAATAAAATCTTATTTAAAAAGTTTTGCTTTAAATTTTCTTCCAATGTTTTTTCTTATCATTTAACATATGTTTTAGAATCAGGTTTTTTAAAGATTTTATTTATTTATTTGACAGAGAGAGACACACAGTGAGAGAGGGAACACAAGCAGGGGGAATGGGGGAGGGAGAAGCAGGCTTCCCGCGGAGCAGGGAGCCCGATGCGGGGCTCGATCCCAGGACCCCGAGATCATGACCTGAGCCGAAGGCAGATGCTTAACGACTGAGCCACCCAGGTGCCGGAAAATGATACGCATTTTGCACACAAAAAAGTGCATGTCTGAGGTGGGGTTCTGAAGCTTAAGTTCTAGGAACTTCATGATTGATGGATTTCTGAAGCAAAGGAGGGCTTACCCTGTGTGAAAACAATCTTGGGTGATGGGCCCAGATTACTGAAGTTGGTATTTCATGGCTGAGAGCTAAGCCGCAGACCATCATTTCAGTGTCTCCTTTCACTGTCCTTTTCGGGTGCTGGGAACTTCAAGAAAGGATGCCTATGAAGTGAGAATGACCGATGATTGAGTGTTGGCTCGGGCAGTGAACTGTATTCTCACCTACCCACCCCCATCCCTCTTTGTCGTCTCAAACTCCTTCCTAAATTTTAGAATCCTAGAACTCGATGGGACCTAATTGTAGTGATTGCCTAGTGTATAAATTCCACAGAAATCTGTTCTTTTAACCAATTTACATATGCAGGCACTTTTAATTTAAAAGTCTTTATTCTTTTGTTTTGCATAAAAAAGAAAAAAAACGAGTGTGATTCTATTGATACTAGAATTAAGAAGTGCTAACATATTATGTCTCACTGGGAGTTATCTTGTTACTGATGTCTGGACGTCCTGCTGATAGGCTGCTTGCTTTGATGATCACATATCACTTTATTTTGATCTTTTCAATCTCCTATTTGGGGCAGGTTTGGTATTCAAAATATAATTAAGTAGATGCTTTTAATATACAAATGCCCATGTGATTACTACATCAAGGGATTATATTTATTCTGGAAAGAAGTGTAAAATTTACACGGTTGGAGATAATGGCATTGTTTCAAAATCTCTCTCTGAGTAAATGAATTTTTTAATATAATGACACCAATCGATAAGGATTCTTCTCTCTTCACATCATTCCGGCTCACAATCCCTTGTTGAAAGTCTTGTGTTGTAAGTAATAAAAATGCAAGGGGCATTTACTACGCGGTTGTGTATCTGAACATATAGGTATTATAGTACTGATCCACAGAAGAAAATATTATTCTATGATATTTTGTGTACCAAAATTATAAACAGAGCTTAGATTTGATAAAAGATGAAAGAAAAAACATTTAAAATGAAACCGATTTTTTAGGGCCTGGATCGATCTTGAAATAATGATTCATTTTTTTCTTTAGTTATTTTTGTTTCTGTTTTCCACTAGTAAAATGGAATCTTCATATTGTCATTTCAAATTACAATATAATACGATCCCTTTTTCCTATTTCATTATTCCTGTTTCCCAGTCCCACCATAAACAATTATTATACATTGTTTGGCCTGTATCCTTATATTTGCATGTGTCCTTGAAAAATGTGGCAGCATTCCGTGTGTATGTTTTTAGAATTTGTTTTATTTGTAAAATTTACAAAGCTACAGAAATGTTGAGAGATAAGTAAAATGAAGAACTTAGATTTACAGTTTTTACCCTGTTGTCTTTTTTCTATGATTCCTTCAATTTCTCTCTTATTACCTTGGGAGTTGCAAGACAATTATTTTCTAACTCTATTCCTAGCATTCATCTGTAAAGAATAGCTTTCCCTTTCTCTATCCCTTCCTCTTTTGATCCATTGTTGTTGTTGTTGTTTTAATTCAATCTATCAAAATTCCTTGCAATTACTTTTCTTCTTCATGTCCAAATTGAGCTAACTTTGGAATGTGGAATCCCTTCAGGTGGCTCCTATGTGTTTTTGACATGACCCCATTATCTCTTTAAGCATTTTCTGGCTTTCTGATTCAATAAGTTGCATACTTATTCACCTATTTCATTTTGTACTTTCTCTGTCCCAGACCTGGAATTAATCCTAAGAGCCCTGGTTTCTTCTGGCGAGGGGCGGACGTAGTCTTCAAGATATGAGCTTATTCGTGGCTACTGGAACCTACTTTGCTCCTGGGGTATTTCTGTGAATAGAACTAAAATATACACATATTTTAGAAAATATGAATTCATACTAATAGCTGTAATTAAAATTCAATACTAAGTTTTTTCTCACCATCTTCCCTCCTACATTTATATGCCCCTTCTTCCCCAATTAAAATTCTCACAACCAAACATTTGATCAAAAGCAAATATAATTTCAAAATTACAACCATAATATTACCAACAAGCCTCCTGATTTCAGTATTTCTTTGCAATTTGAGTTGTCCCATCTAAGTACAAGCAATATATACCTAATTGTTCATATTCTTTGAGTCTTTCAGGTGTGTATTAAAATTTTCCTCATGTAGATGTTGATGTGTATGTATTTGTAATTAAAATATATTACTGTGATATAGATCTCATTTTGTTTCTTTTTTCAATTCAAGATTATATTAAAATATGGGGTTTTTTAGAATTTTAAAAAAATTATTGATTTATTTATTAGAGAGAGAGAGAGAATGAGTGAGAAAGCATGAGCAGGGATAGGGAGAAGCAGAGTCCCCACTGAGCAGGGAGCCAGATATGGGGCTAGATCCGAGGGCCCCAGGATCATGACCTGAGCCGAAGGCTGATGCTTCACTGACTGAGCCACCCAGGTGCCCCTATATTAAGATCATTTAAGATCTGGTCATGTTGCTGGGTTCATCCAGTCCATTGCTTCTCCTTCATGGTATTCCAGACTATGCATCCACTTCCTTTTACTGAGCCTTTCTCCCAGAGTTGGGCAAGTAGATTGCCTTAAACCTTCTGATATTGCATACAAAGCTGCCATTAACAGGCCCATAGTGTCCTTATGAACCTCTCTGGAAACTTCTCTGGAATATATATTCAGGAACAAGTTTGATAAATTATTGAATACAAATGAACTTACTTTGACTATCAGATTATTCTCTAGAATTGATGTTACTACTACATGCCCACCATAAGTGCTTGAGAATATCTTTATCCCAATTACCATTAATTGATATTATCCAGCTTTCTGATTTCTTTAGTTTCCCAACATGAGGAATATATGTATCAGTGTCTCATTGTTTTAGTGGCTTATTTCTAGATATTAAAGTTTGACTATGTTTTCATATGTTTGTTAGCAATTTGCATGTTCCCTTCTGTGAACTGCATGTTCTTACTCATTACTCATATTTCTTTTTTTCTATAAAATATTATATTTATAAATCTGGAATCAGCAAATACCCCTTGAACATCTGAAAGGATAAAAATGTAATTCTTCTTTTAATTTTGTATTTTAATTTTAATTTTTATTTGTTTTGGCTTTTTAAGCTTTTATTTTAATTCCAGTTAGTAAATACAGCGTTATATTAGTTTCAGGTGTACATTATAGTGATTCAGCAATTCCATACATCACCTGGTGCTCATCACAATATGTGCCCTCCTTAATCCCCATCACCTATTTAACCTATTCCCCCCACCAACCTCCCCTCTGGTAACCCATCAGTTTGTTCTTTATAATTAAGAGTCTGTTTCTCGATTTGTCTCTCTCTCTCTCTTTTTCCCTTTGTTGGATAAATAAATTTTTTGGATAAATACCCAGTAGTGCAATTGCTGGCTTATAAGGTAGTTCTAGTTTTAAATTTTTGAGGAACCTCCATACTGTTTTCCAGATTGGCTACAGCAGTTTATATCCCGACCAATAGTGCAGGAGGGTTCCTTTTTCTCCAGATCCTCGCCAACACCTGTTGTTTCTTGAGTTGTTGATTTTAGCCATTCCCACAGCTGTGATGTGACATCTCGTGGTTTTTATTTGCATTTCTCTGAAGGTAAGTGATGGTGAACATCTTTTCATGTGTCAGTCTGCCATCTGTATGTCTTCTTAGAGAATGTCTATTCATGTCTTCTGCCCATTTTTTAATTGGATCATTTGGTTTTGGGTGTTGAATTTTAGAAGTTCTTTATGTATTTGGGATACTAACCCGTTATTGGATATGTCCTTTGTAAATATCCTCTCCCATTCCATAGGGTGCCTTTTAGTTTTATTGATTGTTCCGTCACTGTGCAGAGGCTTTTTATTTTGATACAGTCCAAATAGTTTATGTTTGCTTTTATTTCACTTGCCTTAGGAGACATGTTTAGAAAAAAGTTGCTATGGCCATCATTGCTCATGATGCAGTTGGGTTTCCCATCTTGCTCTGATGGGAAACAACCCTTTAGGGTTAGTTTTCATGGACTAAAAATGTTGATGGTGATTCTAGTATCAACAAAAAGATATTTATTTTTTCATTAGAGTGAGTAATTTGACTACTAGGATAACAAGGAAGTTTGCTTAACTGTCACAAGAGATAGAGAAAGTCATTTTATAATGACAAAAATGTCACTTCATGAGGACGATATAAATTTAGGTAAATTTAAATAAATTATAAATATGTATGCACCCAACATTAGAGGACCTAAATATGTAAAGCAAACATTGATAAATCTCAAGACAGAAAGAGACAGAAATATAATAATAGTAGGAGACTTCAATACCCCACTCTCAACAGTGGAGAGGTCATCCAGACAAAAAAATCAATGAGAAAACAGTAGACCTGAACAACACTAGACCAAATAGACCTAACACACATATATACACCAAACAGCACCAGAATACATTTTTCTCAAGCATACATGGAACATTCTGTATGATACGCATGTTGTAAAAAACAAGTCTTTACTAAGTTAAGAAGATTAATTTTACTTATTTAAAAATATTTCCATAAATAAGTACTTGCTTTATTAGAGGTGAGCACAATTGCTGTTTCTGATTTCATATTTAAAAATGTTGAATTAAATATTAATAAATTCCAGGGGTGCCTGGGTGGCTAAGTTAGTTCAGCATCTACATTTGGCTCAGGTCATGATCCCGGGGTCCTGGGATCCAGCCCCACATCAGGCTCCCTGCTCAGCGGGGAGTCTTCTTCCCTCTCCCTCTGCTGCTCCCCTGCTTGTGCTTGCTCCCTCCCACTCTCTCTCTTTTTCTCTTTCTCTCTGTGTCAAATAAATAAATAAAATCTTTTAAAAATATGTATTAATAAGTTCTTATATTTATTTGTACTTTTTACTACTTTGAATTCATCAAATATTTGTATAGTTAATAAATTATCTCACAAAGCAGCATTATGTCAAAAGAAAACAGAATTGATTTCCTGAAGCTTGACTTATTATGTAGCTTCTCTAAAATATTTTCATTTAATTAAAAATTATAATGACATACTAAGCTTCTAAAATTGTTAAAATATTGGTACAGCAGGGGTAACACACAAATATTAGATTTAAAATTTATTTTGTTACATATATTTTAAATGTAATTCTATGTCAATAAAAATATTTGAGAAGATAGTTTTTAATTTACATATTTGATACATCCAAAATACACATTTAGTAGAAATCTTTTATGAATCCTGTTTTTTTAATGTCTTTCTCTTTTTTTGTGTGTGTCTTTCCCTTTTAAAAGGAGAGTGGTTTTGTTCTGTTTTGCTGGTGAAATAATAAAGGGCAAGTGACAGAAAATTGTTGGCCAGATTACATCAGTAGCATTTTTAAAGAGCCTTAATTCTTTTTTTAAGAGATATTTTATTTATTTATTTATTCAAGAGAAAGAGAGAGAGAGAAAGAGAGAGAGCAAGAGGGCTTGATCTCAGGACCCTGAGATTATGACCTGAACAGAAACCAAGAATCGGATGCTCAACCGACTGAGACACCCGGGCACCCCAAGCCTTAATTCTAATCAAATATTGAGAATAACTTTGGGCGCCTGGGTGGCTCAGTCGTTAAGCGTCTGCCTTAGGCTCAGGTCATGATCCCAAGGTCCTGGGATTGAGTCCCACATCGGGCTCCCTGCTCGGCAGGAAGCCTGCTTCTCCCTCTCCCACTCCCCCTGCTTGTGTTCCTGCTCTCGCTATCTCTCTCTCTGTCAAATAAATAAATAAAATCTTTAAAAAAAATAAATAAAAATAAAAAATTACAAATATTGTGAATAACTAAGATATACTATATATACCTAGATAGAAGGTATGGTTTTTTTTCTTTCCCAAACTTTCCTCAGGAAAGAGAAAGTTACCTCATACAAGATTCCTCAAAAAGTTATGAATATTAAAGAATAAACCATCAATAATTTTATTGTTAATAACAAAGTACAGTTTGGAGAAGACACATTAGCCTAAAACAATCCCAGTAGTAATTTTTGGTTGCTCATAAAGGTCACCTGAAGTAATTGGTAAAAATATAAGACAAAGAAATTTAATGTAGATTTAGTGATTATTATAGAAAACACATTGTTGTGACAGTCATAAAGCTTGGATATAATTATGAGCATGTCTTTAGAGACTGAGTAAGTGGAGATTTTGGGTTGGATGGGGAGATTTTGGGTTTGGGTAAAACTTTTAGTAACAGCATCTATGCCTCTATTCAAAAAGTTACCTCCACAACTTACACAGAAATAATAGCAATGTGCTCTGGGAAACTAGGTTAGATAACTCAAATATTCATTTTTAGGAATGAAAAATTGTTGATGTAAAAGATGCATTTGATGAGTTTAAACAAATTGTTGCACAGAGAAAAAGTAATATATTGATGGTTTATTTTACATTGTAGGTATATACTACTAATAATGTAGTCAACATTATAAGGTGGCATTATATATCATCAACATCCCTAAAATTTAATCTATTCAAATTGATCCAAAAAATTTTCTCATTGGTAAAAGAGCAGACCATATAATATTCATGTCCCTATTATATCCAGCCATAAAACAGAGATGTAAATAATATGCTAATTAAAACTGAAAACTTAAAAAAAGTTACAAGTATTTACGAGTTATAAGTTTGTTGAGGAATTTCAATTTGTAGGTGTATAATAATATAATTATCGTTTCAAAAGGTTCCTTTCATCTGTGTTCCAGGGATTCACCTTTTTCCTATCACTTAATATAATTTTAGGGCAGATTTGAAAATATCCCAGTCACTTTGGCTATTAAAATTTAGACCTATTTTAAAATTTCAGTCCCATATTCTTTTC